TCATGTTGAAATGAAATGGATTACATATTAAACTTCATTACATGTAAAGTACAGTACTAGAGAATTTGTTCAAAATAGCAATGCTAAATTATTTTCTGTCAATTTAAATTCTGAATAAAAATGAATGTTAGGTTTTAGCAATCAATAACTATGCAAATAACATTCTTTCCATTCCACTTAACACAATTAAAATTCTCAGCAAGTTAAATATATTGAATTGTTTATCTGTGGAGAGGCATGTAGGACTCCAATTAAGTTTACATGGATAAATGCAGATTTGTGTTTGCGAATGTCAAGCTGACAGAAGCTTACTACTGCAAAAGGGCTAATCAACACTGAATATGTTTAGTGTCAGTAAATATTTATAGAGAAAATCTTGCTTGTGGAACGCTAAGGCATAAAACCCATTTTTTTCCCCTGATTTTTAGTGATTAAGTACTGTGATTTGTATATCACCCTATCCATAGACCTTCTGTAAATTTTTATTTTATATAAAATTAAATATTAGCTTGATCTTCCTGGTGTTTTGGAGAAGGAGAAATATAAGCTACATTGCAGTTTTTTAATCAGTTGTAAAAAAAACTGTGATGAAGTTAGCAATATTTTTTATTTGGGTCTGTGAACGGAATCCGTAGAGCCTGAAATAGGACCAAGCACAATGCAGACAAGTAGGCTGTATGAAAACTGCATGATGGAATCAGCAGTGGATATTGGATCTTCTTTTCTCATGCCGGGGCCTCCTCAAAACAGAGATTACTAATCAAACTGTGCTGAATGCTGTTGTAGTTACGCAATGTGCACAAATGTTCAGTGGGGAGTAGGTTCAATAGGTTCAGACCACAAAATTAATTGGACCCAAGTGATACGTTTTCTTAGCTCATTGTAAGTTAAAAGCTAGAATTTCTGACTTTTTATGAGTCTTTTCTTGAAGAATATTGTATTAAAATTGAAATCTTTGTTGAATAAAGACCTCAGTGTCCATTGTAAGGCAGAACTTTAGTTTTCATTAATATTGTGTGGATAATCTGATGGAAAAAAAGGAATAAGGAATGGGAAGAAATGATCTATTTTACACTTATTTCACTAATGTATTTTATGATTCAGAGGGAGGAACAACGTTGAAATTGCAGTTCTTGCTTGTACTGGCAATTGTTAACAGTGTGAAAGAGGTAGAAATTTAAAAAGGTGTTTATGAAGGATACAAAATGACACCTCATTTAGTGACTTTTTCTCTCATATTCTTTTTATAATCCAAAAAAAAAAAAAAAAAATGTGATGATTTTGTCCTGGGTTGATTGCAAAGCTAGTTGAAAACAAAAACAATCCCCCCACCCCCACAAAACCCTACTGAAGCCCAGATATAATAGAGTACAGTTTAGATTCTAACTTTGCCTGAAATAAGTAATGCCTGTTGGCCTCTGTTTGATCCTATGAATGTGTGGGGCTAATGTCTGGCCAGTGTTTTGGAAGCAGCAGGTAGTCAGGAGCAAGCTGCTCTAGGGGTCCACATTTCTGTAGCCTGGCAGTTATTCACACACAGATGGGGACCTTATGAACTTTGGCAGAGGTCATGCTAAATTGCAAATCTAAAACTTCTAGACTTCTGAAAGCTTAGGGTGACACGTTATTATTTTTTTACGTGTGCAATTAGAACATTGTTGAAGTTATAAACTCATTTTTAGTAGATGATTAGCCATGCATTCACTGTTTAAACAAGTTATCTTGGGGACAGATGAAGGCAATCTTTCATAATACTTTAAATCAAAACTATTGCATATTAAAACATTGATTTACATATGTAGATCACACTTGTTAGATTGCTGCCCAAACACCTCAGTTTGTTTGCTTCTATTGAGCTTATAAAAGGATTTTAAAATCTGAAAGCACTGCAGAAACCTCTGATTTTTGAGATGCACGTGGTTTGGAATGAATTAAGATATTCATAATCATTTTTGATTTCAAGTCTTTTGGGGTAATCAATTGAGATACCAATATCTCTGTCATCTGTCATCAGCCATCATCTCACCAGAGATCTTATAGCAGCTTTGGAAAGAAAAAATGTGAGATGATCTGGTTTCACATTGTAATGTATTACATTATGCATTCAGTCAAAGCTAGAGAACACTGAAGAGCTACTCCTTTGAGTTCTAATTACAATCCTGAAGCTGCACTTAAAAAGATGAAAATCTGTCATACTTTAACTTATTGTATTTTCTATTCAAATGGGAAAATTGGTGGGGGGAGCAGGGAAGTTGGTATATTTAGACTTGGATCCCTGCTCTATAATATCCAGGATACAGATCATACTTGTCTGCAAGCTGCTTTCTTGTAGCTATTATAATGTTCCTTTGTTTTTTACTAAATTTGTTCAGTGGAGACATGTGAAACAAAATGAATGTTTTATGAATGTAAATATCCAAGGAGCTTAGATGTCTTAGTCAACAGGTGGTATAGAGGCTGATCTTTTAATCAAATGGTCAATGTGTCATTACTGAACTAGTTGAGTTCAGTGTGCTGGTTAATGGCTCATGAACTACTTTATAAAGCTACAGCAACATGTTTCAATGACGTCAAAATCTGATTCCATGTGTTGAAAGTGGTTTCAGTATTGGCCACACAGAGAGCCAGAAAATTCACACCAGCAGCAGGCTGTAAGAGGAAAAGGGTTTTAAAGCTGTTTGAACTGGGTCATGCATAAGATAACAAGAATGTTACTCATGCTTCTAAACAGGAGAAATACAAAGGGAAAAGAAATAGTACACTGAAAAAGTCTCCCTCATTTACTGTACCTTTGGTTTCCTTGTGGCTATATCTCCATTTCAGAAAGAAAATGTAAATAGTTAGATTTACAGTTGCAGTTTGACTATGCAAGCTAGTAGAATGCAGGTGATATAGCAAGTTTTTATTTTCATTATTTAAAATTATGTTTATGAGTAGGATCAATTAAGCAACTTCTTCTATGAAATACCTTAGTTTAACGTGGTGCGTTGTTTTCTAGCCATTTCTATATTGTGCTGGCAGTACCTCTTCAAATCTCTTGTTAAAGTTTTCTCCAAATTGAAGAATTGAGATGTATATTTCTGATAGAAGTAAGCTCCTTACCAGACACTCTTAAATTATCCTTTTTGGAGATGATATATCTGTGATACCCTTAAGGTGATTTAAAAAAAAATCTTTATACCAAGTAGCAGTTGTATTCAAATTCAGAGATAAAGGCATTATATTCTTTGCTACCTCATTTCCCCTTTCTTTTTCTGTGTTCCTTTATTATACTCAACCTTGCAGTCAAACTGCAGAGACTGAACACTGTCATACTGTTTATGTAAATCAATGGTTATCTAATTATAACCCTTTTAATTATAAACATTTCTGGCCAGCGTTGTTTAGTGCAAGTTTGCTCAGAGGTATTGCCTCCATCATAAGTTATGGTTATGAGAAGGCATTTTGATTTAAATGCAGAAAAACAAATTAATTAGGTTGCTTACTGTATTCACTTGATTCTAAGACGAGGTCTCCCTCATTTAACATATGGGAAAAACCCCTTGTTTTAGAAATAAGTGGCGGGGGGGAGGTGGCTGCTGTGGCTTGGGCTTCAGCCCCTACCTGGCGTTGGGGCCATAGCTATAGCTGCTGCTTGCCCCTGCAACCTCTGGACTCTGCTCTCTTCCCCTATCTCCCCACCACACAGCCTCTGCTCCCAGACCTGCCTCTCTCCCTCCCCTCCCTCCCCCCTTGCTTTTGCTACTTGCAGGCAGGCTATGTCCATGCTGCAGCTCGGGCACTGAGCATGGCCCCACATCAGGCAGCCTGCATGGCTGCTACATGAGTTGGGCTCGGGCAATGCTCACTGCCCCAGGCTACGAAGGGAATGGAGCCTGTGGGTGCAGAGGAAGGGTAAGGGGGAAGAATTGGGAAGCAGAGGCTATGGCGGGCGGGAGAGGGGGGAGCAACAGATGGAGGCATAGGGAAGGCAGGGAGCAGAGGCAGGGGGAGGAGCAAGAGTGGGAGCAGATATGGAGGGGGAAGTGGGTCTTGAGGCTGCAGGCAGGCCAGCAGGGAGAAGAGGTGGCAGGGGGCTACCTGACTTCTTCACATTACTTGCCCCACCCCCCCACTGCCTTCCCTCCCTGCAGTGGTTGGGGGGGGGGGGATGAATTAAAGACTCCAATAATTAGATTCTATACCTGCAAAATTATAATGAATTTATGAATTTCCCATGGGGTTGTCTTAGATTTGAATAAATCCAGTAGCTCTTCCTTCCTTTTCTTGGTGGTTGATTCCTTTGGTTGCATTGGGATTTACAGCATGATGATAGGGCTTTCAGCTATACTTAACCTATAAAGACCTATTTAGCAGTCCTTTATGTGGAGAATTCTTTTGCTCAGGTCTATTTTTTTGCAGCTCGCACCCAGTCTGGGTGGCATATCAACCACACAGTTTGCAGCTTTGCCATTGTGTGCCATTCTGCTATATAGCTATACTTTATGGGTCATACCAGCACCATGCACCAATTACTTGTTTTTATACCCACAATGCCACATAATGCAAAATATAAACATTAAAACTTGATTAGAGATTTGGCCAGGCAGAGTTGTGTAAAAGTGTATGAAATATAAATGTAAGTTTAAATGTTTTTTGTTAAGCTCGATCATTTTTTTTTTTTTAATGAATTACAATTGACAAAGTGATATAGAGACACATATGACTTTTTTTTTCTTTTAAGTACTATAATTATACAACCTTCACAAAAATATATTTAAAGTGGATGTAGATTTAATTAGAAAATGACATATAATTATGTCATGAGTGGACTAGGAACGTCACTTAAGGTGTCTCTCTAGGTCTATGGACACCAAATTTGTTGACTGGAATTTAGAGGGAGGTGGGCGGGTGTGTGTGTGTTTTGTGGGCTGTAGGGCTGCTTATTTCATTTTGTTTTATGGCTTTCCCAGTGTTGTTTGGGAATGACATTCATCTGATTTGACTCGTTTTATTTTTAGGTGTGACTCATAATATTGCTTTGCTGCGAGAAGTGATAATCCATCCATGCTTTGTTCAGGGCGATATCAGCACTAAATTTCTTCCAGAAGTCTATCCTGATGGCTTTAAAGGTTTGTCTTCCCTTGAAATATTTTTTACATTTTGGAAGATGATTTTCATGACTAATTTCTTGTCTTCTGGGGTGAATTGTTCTCTAATATATCTTTCATATTTTAGATTATGTATTTATTTGCAGACTGTTTGAAGTTTTTAATAACAGGTTGTTGAATTGAAATAGTTGTTTTCTTTGAACTTCAAGAAGACTAAAATCCTACACTTCTAGCTACAAATGGACTCTAAAGGGGATGAAGATGGAGGATTCTCTGTGGCTGTAGGGGACAGGACTAGGAGCAGTGGCTGTAGGAGAGGAAATTTAGGAAGGTTGCAGATTAGGAAGAACTTTCTCACTATGAGGGTGTTAAGTACTGGAATAAACTACCTAGAGAGATGTGGCATCTCCATCCCTGTAAGTTCTCAAGAGCATGTTAGACAATTGCCTGGGATCATTTAGTCACTGTTTTGGAGCTGGGGGATGGACTTAGATGACCCAATGAGGTCCCTTCCAGTCCTGTTTTCCTATGATCTTATTTTTATGGTTGTCTTAGATGTTAGGTGTGATGAATAAGCTAAATGATAAAAAAACAAACATATACAAAAGATAAAAGCCATTATACTAAATTCACACAATGACCAATGTAGTGAAAGAGATTAAAATAAGAATCACTGAGTACATCTACATGAGATGTTTACTGACCAGAGCTGCCTAATTAGCTCTGCAGTAAAATCTCAGTGTCTACACATGCAACCCTATTAGACTGCGGGAGACTAATTAACTCTGCTGCAGGTTAGTACTTGTACATACAAATACTAACCTGTGGTGGCATTCTTTAGTGCACAGCAATGCACATGTAGACACTGACAGGGATGGCTGGGGCACAAGGGCGCTTCAGTGGAGGGGCTGCCTGCCAGCCAACCCTGCACTGGAGCACCCTTGTGCCCCGGCCATCTCCTCTGCAGCACCTTGAGCCAGGTCAGAGCAGCCTGAGCTGGCAGGCTGACTCCTGGGGCCTGCTGCCAGCTGGGGCTGCTCTGACCCAATTCAATGGACTGTGGTCCTGGGTGCCCATGAAGATGTGGTGTCTGGGAGCAGTACATTTAAAACTGGTGGACTCTCCATCTTCTAACTCTGGTTTACGACTAGAAGTCTTTCTGTAAGATATGCAGTAGTTAAACACTAATTATCAGGTTCTATGCAGAAATACTTTGGTGAATTTCTATGTTGTGTGATACACAGGAGCTCAAGCTATAGATGATGTAGTGATGATGCCTTGTAGCCTTGACATCTGTGAAATTATCAGATCTTTTTATGAGGAGGTAATGAAACCTCATAACTTTATTGCATCTCGTTAATTGCATGTGTAGATGCACCCTGTAAGATAGAGGATTCAGGAAAGACAGAACGTGGCAAACTCCTGCCAAGCAGTTGATTAGTTCTGGAAGATTAGAAAACCAGAGTTGCCAATAAATGTGGGAGTTCCCCAGATGTATGGCGGGGCAGCACTGAGTTTGAAAAATGGCTCTTTTAAGCTCTGTAAATATAAATGACCAATAACACATTTAAAACTAAAAGTGTTTAGCAGTTAGCAGGATTTTGAACCTAAGGGGGTTTATACATGTGCTCTGGGAGTGGGGGAGGGGGGAAAGTGCTTTAATTAGAGTGGTTCTGAGAGCCACTCTAAATTAAAGTACCTGGAGTGTCTCTTGTATCAGTGCCCCTGTGCTGAAAAATGGCAGCAAGGGTGTTTTAACTACAGCTCATTTGACGAGCTTTGGTTAAAACATCCCCGCCACTATTTCTCAGAGCAGGGATGCTGATACAGGAGATGCTGGAGTCTGCTGCAGTGTGGTAATTACCATGCTCCAGCAGACTCAATTAATTGAGTCTGCTCACTGTGTTGAAGCAGCCTTGCTGCTCGTGTATAGGCACCCTAAGGGACCAGTAAAATTTGTTATGGAGTAATATAGCAATTGACATCAACTGTAAATACAAGTGGTAGCAATTTATTGCTATGGAAAAAGGCAACTGCAAGCCTGGATGAACTGGGAAGGATGTTTCCAGATGGAATGCAGTTCTGATCACATCTGTTGGAAGAAAGATGAACTCCCGCTGGGACAGGTGCAGAGAAGGGTAGGCAGGATATATGGGGGATTAGAGTGTAGGGACCATGTGTATCACTGTACTACATGAGGAAGTACTGTACAGAGATGTAGAACACTAGCTTTGTGTACACTAGATCCAGGACTGAAGGTAGAATAGATGTAATAATTTGGTGCTGGGCCAATAAGATGTCTTGAGTCTTATAGACCTATCTAGAGGAGGTTGGCTTGTTTTAGCCTAGCAGAATGAAGAGTGAAAGAGGATTGTAAATCCCAGGCTGTGAAAGGGACTGTTGAAGATAAAAGCCAATGTTTTTACAAGAACAGATGGACATATCTCAAAGAAAGGAGATACTGAATTTTATTTGTTTGTATTTTTGTGTGTATTTTAACATATTATGTGTTGTATATATTTAAGACTATATATTAGCTTAACTGCTTTTTTTTTTCCATTTAAAATTCTGAGGAAAAATGTCTGTTTATGGCTAAATTATTTGATCCCCCTCCCCCACTTCCCACACATAAATGGCTAATTTTGTTATAGTACCACAGTCTGAAGTAAAAATATATTACTGTATTAGCAAATTTTTAAGAATAGGAGGATTTTGCTCTAGACACTGATCAAAAGAGACATTGTGATAGTTCACAATAGAAGCTAATGAAAGATACAGATGAGATGATTAGACTTTGTTCCCACAATATAAAAGGCTGTGCTCCCCACACCATCAAATAAACACACATTAACTTTTTTAGAGGTAAATGAAATGTAGGTAGTGTTATAACAAGGATTGCATCATTCAGGTCAAGAATACTTAGGCCCTGTTTCCAGTGCACCTCACAGAAACTTTCAGCCTTAGAAGAAGTTTTTAGGTTGCTTCTGTTGAACTCTCCTCTACGTGACATTCATCAATTTGTAGTTGCTGGATGTAAGGTCAGGCCTGTTTTTAGTTATGTTTCTGTATTTTAAGAAAGAGTAGCATAGCTCAATTGTTAATTTTTCCTTTTATGTGAAGTCTCCAAATTTTACGTAACAGTCATTTGTGACCCATTCAAAAAATAAGACAGCCAAGGACCAGGATAGAATTCCTGGTTGTCTCCCACCTGTGGGCAGTGGTGCCTGTGCCAAAGCCTGTTGACGTCAATGGGAGCCTCTTTAAGGATTAAGTGGGTTTTGGATTGGGCCCTTGCAGCTTGAAAGTGAATGATGAGTCTGTTGATTCAGGGGATGGTTGTTTACGCATCTGTAAAAATAGTTCTATTAATACATAAGGATCTCTGATGGGAACTGTTGAAAACCACAGTGGCTTGTGGGTGGCAGCACAGGAAATGTTGCAAAAGTAAATTAGGATTGGACTGTTCTGCCTAAGTCCTCTATCTTCTTTATTAAACTTTTATATATGATCCTGGGTAAAATTTTGCTAGGAGACGTATTTAAAAAAATAAATGTTAATGTTATACTAACTTAGGGATAGAACCACAGCTTTAAAAATTTATTTGCTAGAGTGGCCTGTTGAATTATGCAGCTACATTAGAATTGGAAAATATCTGGGAGTGTTGCATTCTTAGAACATCTCTGAAACAATAATAATTTTTTTTTTTAAGATTAAGATGGTGGGTAGCTTGGTGGGCTGAATCTGGCATGTGGGCCTGACCCAGTGTGCATAAGGTTGTACAGTTATATTGTGGCCAGGGCCTTAGCTCCTGTGATGTATTGGGCCTCCATCTCCAGCCTTGGCCACACGTGCACTGAATAGGGTGTTGCCGCCCCAGCCCCAGACCTGTACGTGCTAGATTAGGTGCGCTGCCTCAGCCCTAGCTCAAATCAGGCCCCATTGCCCCAGACCTATCACTGGATTGGGCCTACTGCCCCAGTCCTATGAATGCTGGATAGGGCCCACCACCCTAGCCAAGGCCCTTGCCCTATGTGTACTGGATTGGACCTCTTGCCCCAGCCCTGACCCTGCATGTGCTAGATTGGGGCTGTCACCCCAGCCCCTGACATGCCATGGATCTGGTCTGTGGTGCTTGGAAATTTGGAGGTGGGGGAGTGCTGGTGGCATGAATTATCACTTCTCACCACCTTTCAAATTTCCAGAGCTTTGGGGACCCCTACAGGCTGAATCACATGGCTCCGTATGCTAGATCTGCCACGTGGGCCAAGGACTGAGCACACCTGCTAAAATGCTGTTGAACTAATACATTTTAACAAGACAAAGTTTCTGTATGTAATTTATCAAAAAAAGGTCAAAGGACAGATTTTTAAAGGCAAGGTGTCTAAAGATGTAAATGGGTACCTGGGATCTTGTGGAACTGTCCCTGGAAGCCTAACTCCCTTTTGATTTCCATGCCCGAATGCTTTTGAAAAGCATGCTGAGCACTCTTCAAAATATTGGGGCCTTTAAAAATCTGGCCTTTATTTATTCACAAATTTTGAGGGCAGAAGTGATTATCTACTGCCCGACTGGCTGAATAAAACATGATAAGGCTCCCCTGAATTAATTCTTGTTGAACTGGGGTATTATTTTATTTTATTTTATTTTTGGAAAACAAATCTGTTGTTGATGTAAAAAATTAGTGAGCAAGTACAGGACAATCATAGGCAGCCAAACTGATTTGAGCTCTTTGCATCACCTTTGAAGATACATTTTCTAGTCCTTTCATTTTTTTTCCTGTAACTGTTCTCTGAAATATCTTCAGTTTATCAATATCCTCCTTGAATTGTGGCATCACAGCTGGACGCAGCATGCCAGTGACAGTTCCATGTGTTCTAAATAGACAGGTAATATAAAGTCTTACTCACTGTTCCCATTTTTAAGTATTTGACTAGCCCTTTTGGTCACAGAGTTGCACTGTGAACTCATCTTTAGCTGGTTAACTTCCCTGGCCCATAAGTCATCTTTGGAGATGATGTTTC